TTTGGTTTTGATTTACATATCCCTGATGGCTAGTAATTCTGAGCACATTTTCGTGTGTCTGTTGGCCATTTGTATTTCACATTTTGAAAAATGCCTGTTCATGTCCTTTGCCCATTTCTCTCTTTTTTATTAGAAAACTTTTATTTAAAAAATATAAATTTCAAAAGTACAACTTTTGGATTATAGCGGTTCTTCCCCCCATAACCACCTACCCACCTGCAAACCATCCCATCTCCTACTCCCTCTCCCATCCCATTCTTCATTAAGATTCATTTTTAATTATCTTCATATACAGAAGATCAACTCTATACTGAATAAAGATTTCAACAGTTTGAAAACACACAGACACACAAAGTATAAAGTACTGTTTGAAGATTAGTTTTACCATTAATTCTCATAGTACAACACATTAAGGACAGAGGTCCTACTTGGGGAGCAAGTGCACAGTGACTCCTGTTGTTGATTTAACCATTGACACTCTTATTTATGATGTCAGTAATACCTTGAGGTCTCTTGTCATGAGCTGCCAAGGCTATGGAAGTCTCTTGGGTTCACAAACTCTGACCTTATTTAGACAAGGCCATAATCAAAGTGGAAGTTCTCTCCTCCCTTCAGAGAAAGGTACCTCCTTCTTTGATGGCCCCTTCTTTCCACCGGGATCCCACTCAGAGAGATCTTTCATATAGGTCATTTTTTGCCAGTGTCTTGGCTTTCCATGCCTGAGAAACTCTCATGGGCTTTTTAGCCAGATCTGAATGCCTTAAGGGCTGATTCTGAGGCCAGAGTGCTGTTTAGGGCATTTGCCATTCTATGAGTCTGCTGTGTATCCCGCTTCCCATGTTGGATTATTCTCTCCTTTTTAATTCTATCAATTATTATTAGCAGACACTGGTCTTGTTTATGTGATCCCTCTGACACTTAATCCTATCTTTATGATCAGATATAAACTTAAACTAATCACTTTAACTAGTAAGGTGGCGTTGGTACCTACCAACTTAATGTGATTCGGAGTCCCATCTTTGCCTATTTCTTAACTGAATTGTTTGTTTTGTTGTTGCTGAGTTCTTTGGGTTCTTTTTAGATTCTGGATATTAATCCTTTATCAGCTGCATAGTTTGCAAATATTTTCTTCCATTCTATCAGTTGTTTCTTTACTTTTTGAGTGTTTTTGCAATGTAGAAGCTTCTTAGCTTGATGTAATTCCATTTGTCTATTTTTGCTTTTATTGCCTGTGCTTCTGGGGTCTTTTCCAAGAAGGGCTTGCCTATGCCAGTGTCTTGCAAAATTTCCCCAAAGTTATCCTCTGGTAATTTGATGGTATCAGGTCATAGATTTAGGTTCTCAGTCAATTTTGTGTTGATTTTTGTGTAAAATATAAGATAAGGATCTTGTTTCTTATTTCCGCATGTGGAGATCCAATTTTTCCAGCACTAATTGTTGAAGAGACTGTCCTTTCTTTAAGGATTGACTTTAGCTCCTTTGTCAAAGATTTATTGGTTGTAGATGCATGGATTGATTTCTGGGATTTCTGTTTTGTTACATTGGTTTACGTGTCTACCAGGGTGTTTTGATTATAACTGCACTGTGATATGTCTTGAGACATGAAATTGTGTTGCCTCCAGCTTTGTTTTTGTTGTTTAATATTGCTTTAGCTATTTCTGGCCTCTTGTGCTTCCATCTAAAGTATAACGTCATTTTTTCTAGATCAGAGAAGAATGTCATTGGTATTTTGATTGGTATTGCATTGAATCTGTAAAGTGCTTTCAGTATTGTCAACATTTTGATGATGTTAATTTTTCAATCCACAAACATGGAAGAACTTACCCATCTCACATCCACAGCTATATTCCTGTTACCCAGGGCAGCGAGTGCCGTGTGCTGAATACTGGCAGGTACTCAGAAAGTCTTTGGATGAATCAGTGAATGAGTGTCATCCCCATATACTTCTGAAGGACACGGACTGGGTCTGTTTTACTTAGAGCCCTTGACAGCACACACAAGTTTTTATTAAAGGATAGTTAGTGGCCTCCTAAGAGCCCTCCCTACATGGTGGTTTCCCTCCACTTTACAATTCTCTGTGTTTTACACAGAAACCACACAGATCCTTTTGTGAACTAAATCATTTGACAGTAGAAGAAACCTTCCCTTTTTTCACTAACTTAAACAGTCTAGTTCAGGGGTTTTGCTATGGAAGTAGAGGCTCAGTTCAAGTCTTCTCCTTATGACCATGTGACGCTGACAATTACAGATCCTCTCTTGCCTCTATTTATTCATCTCTAGTTTAAGGCAAGCAATAGCATCTGTTTTATAAGGTTCTTTTGAAAGTTAAATGAGGGGCCAGGCGCCATTGCTCACTTGGCTAATCCTCCGCCTGCGGTGCTGGCATCCGATATGTGCGCCGGTTTCTAGTCCTGGTTGCTCCTCTTCCAGTCCAGCTCTCTCCTGTGGCCCGGGAAGGCAGTGAAGGATGGCCCAAGTGCTTGGGCCTCTGTACCCGCATGGGAGACCAGGAAGAAACACGTGGCTCCTGGCTTCGGATTGGTGCAGCGCTGGCTGTAGCGGCCATTTGGGGAGTGAACCAATGGAAGGAAGACCTTTCTCTCTGTCTCTCTCTCTCAATGTCTATAACTCTACCTGTCAAATAAAAAAAAAAAAAGTTAAATGAGGTTCTAGAGAGTAAAGTGTTAAGAACTGCTCTAGGACATAAGTGCTTAATAAATGTAGGTGGGCTGATGTGATGGTGGTAGGTTTTGGCCAATAAAATTGTGGAGTATTTTTCTGCTTTATTATCATTGAAATTATTTAATTCTATTGAATATTTTTCTTCATCTTTGCTTTCTCAGAATGTAAGAATCAGGTCATCCCCTGGAAATATTATTTAAAATATTCTCATTAAGTAATTATCTTAAAAAGCTAGACTTGTTAAGAAATATACTTTGGGGGCTGGCGCCGTGGCTCACTTGGCTAATCCTCCACCTGTGGCACCGACACCCCAGGTTCTAGTCCCGGTTGGGGCACCGGATTCTGTCCCGGTTGCTCCTCTTCCAGTCCAGCTCTCTGCTGTGGCCCAGGAGTGCAGTGGAGGATGGTCCAAGTGCTTGGGCCCTGCACCCCGTGGGAGACCAGGAGGAAGCACCTGGCTCCTGGCTTTGGATTGGCGCAGCTCACCAGCCGCAGCACACTGGCTGCAGTATGCCGGCCGTGGCGGCCATTTTGGGGGTGAACCAATGGAAAAAGGAAGACCTTTCTCTCTCTCTCTCTCTCTCTCTCTCTCTCACTGTCTAACTCTGCCTGTCCAAAAAAGAAATATACTTTGATCCCTTGCATGCGAACTTTATTTTCATGGGGACACTGAATGGATTATTCTCCCCCAGAATCTATGAAACAAAAGTTTTCTCTGCATGGAATCCATCTGTCCTTTCTCCTAACCTTCCTTCCTTATTTATTTATTTGAAAGAGTTACAGAGAGGGAGGGAGAGTCAGAGAGACAGAGATGGTCCATCTGCTGGTTCACTCCACAGATGGTCCCAACAGCTGAGGCTGGGCCAGGCTGAAGCCAAGAGCTTCTTCCAGGTCTCCCAAATGGGTGGCAGTGACCAAAGCATTTGGGCCATCTTCTGCTACTTTTCCCAGGCCATTATCAGGGAGCAGGATGGGAAGTGGAGCAGCTGGGACACGAACTGGTGCCCATACACGATGCTGGCATCATAGGTGGCAGCTTTACCCACTATGCCACAATGCCAGCCCCTATCTTGGGCATTTCTACAATACTGTCTCTCACAATTAAATATTTCACACGTATTTTCTGGAGGAAAGGATTAATAAATATTACTTGTTATTATAAAATCAGGGTAAACTACCCAGATGGGAGGGTTTTCCTTGCAAGGTTAATTTCTTGATTTTTTTCAAAGATTATTTCCACGTAGAACCTAACTAAGCTTCAGTGTTTATTTTTGTTTGTTTTTCACTTGGTGAATCCATAAATGCCATATACTTAGTTTCTGTAAGGAAGACTTGTTTTTAGGTTAGTCTCAATGCGAGAACAAAACGAAAAACATTCAGTTATATTCTACACCTCAAGTTGATGACTTAATGGTAATCTTGACTGAAATTTAATTAGCCTGTGACCTAGCTCTGTCTTTTTTGGGGTTTTGTTATTGCTAAGATACTACTAATAAAAATACTATTTAGAGTTTCTTAATAGTCTAAATTCTGTTTACCTTTTCTATTTGGTTCTTTGCTCTTCTATCTTTAAAAAGCACTCACAATTTAAAAAGAACCTTGAAAAAGATTTGAAAGTAATAGCATAAAGCGGTACACATGATATCTAAGATTTCTCTCATTTGCTTTTTAATGGGGAATGTGGATGATAGGTTTGTCCATGAAGGAACTTCTGTCCCATATAAGCAAATTGTCCTATTTCCAGTCCATTGGAGCTCTCTGGCCTTCCTAAGTCTGAGAAATTACTGCCTCGGAGAGTTAAGTTTTTCTGTTGGTGATGTTACTTAATTTTAATTCTCAACACGCCAGTCCTTTTCTTATAAAAAGCTAGAGTACAGGGTTGGCAGGATGAGTAATAAAGGCTCTCTTGGGTCATAAGGATAACACTGGGAAATGACTGAAAAAGAAGAAATAGTGTTCTTTAAAAACACAAGTACTTTAAAAGTAGGTGGTTTGGAAGGAGTGCACAGTTGACTCAAAAATTTGCTAGAGCAGCGACCATGAAACTAAATTAGTTGAATAAAAGAATAAAAAGAAAGCAAAAACTTGGTTAGTCTGCATAGTGTATTCCTATCTTTTTGTGATTTGTCAGTGTTTGTCATGATGATATTTAGCTTGGAAAATGCTGGTTGCAGACTATCACTTTGCTGCTTGATGTGGTTAGCTGTGGTCCTTGGATGATTGGTGAGTTCAGCCTGACTTGTATGGTGTGTGCAGGTGGGAGTGATAATTGTCAGGAGCCTTTTATAATCAGACTCTTTTTTTCTGCTACTTTCCAGATTTTCACCTGATGGAAGACTAATTGTGTCATGTAGTGAGGATAAAACTGTTAAAATTTGGGACACCACAAATAAACAGTGTGTTAATAACTTCTCAGATTCTGTAGGGTAAGTTCACTCACAATTTGTTCATTTTTTTGAGTGAATTTGCTACGGAGACACTTAATCATAGCAAATGAAAGAAAAAGAAATCTAAATATTAATCTGTCTTACTGTTTTGTCTTAGGTTTGCCAATTTTGTGGATTTTAACCCAAATGGTACATGTATAGCTTCAGCAGGTTCTGATCACACTGTGAAAATCTGGGACATAAGAGTGAACAAATTACTCCAGCATTATCAAGGTAACAGTTTCATGGACACAGAAATTCAGTTGTTAATTTCTGGGAAGGGCCAGTTCTTGGTTTGGTTTGTCTCACTTTCTCTCTGTTTTTGATTTTTTTTTTTTTTAAATTTAAGAGGCAGAGAGGCAGTCAAAGACAGAGAATGGGTTTCCATCTTCTGATTCACTCCTCAAAGGCCCACAAAGGCCTGGGCTGGGCTGAAATCAGGAGCAGGGAATTCAACCCTGGTTTCCCATGTGAGTAGCAGGAACCCAATTACTTGAGCCATCACTACTGCTTGCCAGTGTTTGCATTATCAAGAAGCTGGAATCAGGAGGTGGGCATTGAACCCAGCCACTCTGATATGGGATGTGTTTGTCATTACTATGCTTTTTTAACAACCAGACTAAACCCCCAGTTGTAGTTTTGCTCTATTAGTGAGGGTCATGAATTTGCCTTTGACCTGACTAGAGAAGAGTACAGTTAACATCTATCAGCAACAAAAGTAAGGAAAGAGGAAGGTGAAGCGATCTTAAAATAATGTTAAAATTGTTTAAAAAAAAGTTACTGTGAGATTTTCAAATGCTAGTTATCTACACTCTGTGAGATAGTGACACTGAATTCTGAATCACAAAGAGTTAATGTGAACACAAATTAGGTACTATGACTGGTAGAAAACAACTTCTTATTGTGCCTGTGTATTGAAACTGAAGAATTAACTTGACTTTCTTGGCTTGTGTTGCATTTGTATAAAATCCACATTAATAATCACTGTCGGGCCGGCGCCGCGGCTCAATAGGCTAATCCTTCGCCTGTGGTGCCAGCACCCCGGGTTCTAGTCCTGGTTGGGGTGCCAGATTCTGTCCCGGTTGCTCCTCTTCCAGTCCAGCTCTCTGCTGTGGCCCGGGAAGGCAGTGGAAGTTGGCCCAAGTGCTTGGGTCCTGTACCCGCATGGGAGACCAAGAGGAAGCACCCAGCTCCTGGCTTCAGATTGGTGCAGCGCGATGGCCATAGCAGCCATTTGTGGGGTGAACCAGCGGAAGGAGGACCTTTCTCTCTGTCTCTCTCTCACGGTCTAATTCTGCCTGTCAAAAAAAAAAAAAAAAATCACTTTCACTTATTCGGTGTTTAGCATGTAGCAGACACTGTGCTAAATCATCACAATATTCCTAATAGGTATTATTATTACTCCCGCATTAAAGATAAGGGAATTGAGACTTCAAGAGGATAAGTACTTAAGTAATCGATGGAATTAAGGCTTTCCGCTTACAAAGTGTGTCAAAGAACACTTTTGTTGACTCTGTTACACTGCCTCCTACTGGAAGGATGGTGTCCGGAAGTGCGTTCTCAAACTTAATAGCCCAATGTGCCCTGCTCCAAACTTATCTCCAAACGTTTCACCCATTAATCCAATGTCGCTAGTTGATTATTAAATTTAATTTGAGGTTAGATTATATATTTTATGTTAGCTGATAGTAATCAACTGTTGGCTATATTGGCAATATATCTGAATACTTTATAGTTCTGTGATTGGTAAGATTATATATGACGTATCAATTTTAAAGTTATTTGTCTCATGGGCAGGAAGTTAATGTTGTATGAGGCCAAAATATTTGTTTTTTTTTTTTAAAGATTTATTTATTTATTTATTTGAAAGTCAGAGTTACACAGAAAGAGTAGAGGCAGAGAGAGTCTTCCATCCAATGGTTTACTCCCCAATTGACCGCAATGGCTGGAGCTGCACCAATCCGAAGCCAGAAGCTAGGAGCTTCCTCGGGGTCTCCCACACAGGTGCAGGGGCCCAAGGACTTGGGCCATCTTCCACTGCTTTCCCAGGCCATAGCAGAGAGCTGGATTAGAAAAGGAGCAGCTGGGTCTCGAACTGGTGCCGATGATTTAGGATACCGGTGCTTCAGGCCAGGGCATTAACCTGCTGCGCCACGGTGCCGCCCGCTCCTCCCCCCCTCTTTTTTTTAAAGCAAAATGTTTGTTTTAATGAACTACATAGAATTTTGGAATCATGGAGACATTACTTCTACTTGATTCTTGTTTTCAACTTAATGTTTCCAATTAGGCAAACGGGTGTCTTCAGAGTTAAGGACTGTTCTCTGAAAAGAAAGAAAAGTAGCATCCATGGGATTATAAAGAAAACCAATTATATTGAGATATACCTCTTAAATATTAAGATCTCGTGATATTGTGAAAAAGAATCGTCTTCTGAATTTTTGCTTTTATTTTCTACCCTTCAGTTCACAACTCTGGAGTTAATTGCCTGTCCTTCCATCCTTCGGGTAACTTCCTCATCACTGCTTCTTCAGATGGCACGCTGAAGATTTTGGACCTCTTGGAAGGAAGGCTCATATACACACTTCAGGGGCATACGGTATTAACACAAATTTTTGCTTTTATAATATGAATTTTTTAAATTTTAATCCATTTTATTATTTGCCATTGTTTTTACAGATAGCATGACATTGGTACTCTCACAAAAACATTTTACTTTCAAGGCTATGTTTTTGTACTCTTGAGTTCAGCTTATAGAAATAACATTTCTTGGCCGGCACCACAGCTCAATAGGCTAATTCTCCGCCTTACGGCGCCGGCACACAGGGTTCTAGTCCCGGCTGGGGCGCCGGATTCTGTCCCAGTTGCCCCTCTTCTAGGCCAGCTCTCTGCTGTGGCCTGGGAGTGCAGTGGAGGATGGCCCAAGTCCTTGGGCCCTGCACTCCATGGGAGACCAGGAGAAGCACCTGGCTCCTGCCTTCGGATCAGCGCAGTGCGCCAGCCGCAGCGTGCTGGCCGCGGCGGCCATTAGAGGGTGAACCAACGGCAAAGGAAGACCTTTCTCTCTGTCTCTCTCTCTCCCTGTCCACTCTGCCTGTAAAAAAAAGACAAATAAAGAAATACATTTCTTATATCTGTCAAATCCAAGTATGTCTTTCAATGACCACTAAATAAATCCTCTATTGCTGTCTTCATTTTGACAAGCATGGCTCAGCACCTTTTGCTATACTGCCCTTCCTAGCAAGCCCGTCCTCTCTGTTTTCCTCTGATGCTTCTTGTGGGGAGACCTGCCATTGTCTAGTGTTGCGTGTAATGAGGTCAGTGAACCTGACCTAGAGTTCTAAATGTTTTTTTCTAGAAAGCCCATTTGCTGTACAGATAAAAGCCACTCTCTTTCTATGAACATTTATGAGCAGTAAAGTGATATTTTGTCTCTTATATGCATTATGCCTTTGTCTTATTTCTCAATTGGTTTAGAACCCAGAGGGAAAGTGGGTCCTCACTCCTACCCCTGCCATAGTATGTAAACTATTCCTCATTCAGGATAAATATTCAAACTTCTCTGATTTTTTAAGAATGCATCCTCTTTTTTAGCAAAGATGGGGTAGGTACTTCCTTTTAGCCATGTATAACCTTTTTATATCTAGAAATAGAACAGGCGTTGTGGTCTAGAAGAATCAGGGTTCTTCTTTGTATGTTTTCCCTTTCCTTTATCATTTGTTCTCCATCAGTGTTAAGGTGCAGCAGAAATAGATACTAACCAGCTCAGATACATACATGTCCATGGATTTAATCTGAATAAACACTGCCAATAAAAGGAACAAGTATCAAAAATTTTTCATGAAAAAAGTAAAGTTAATGAAAAAAAAACCAATAAGCACAGTAGTTTATGAAGAATCCAACATTACACATAAAGATGGAATTTGTCATAGCCTGGAGGTGAAGGTACTTATGAAACTGTAATTACTTAATTTTGACAAATGGTCTACTTAAAAATAAATGACATTCTTCCCTAAAAGTTTTCTTCCATAAATTAATGACATAGTGAAAACAAACAACATATTTATAGTTTTGAGATGAGGAATATTACTCTTATGTTGACTGAAAGATCTACCTAGAGACCATGTATGTTGTGACTGCCAAATATGGTCTTGTCCAAATCCATAGTAATTACTCAGTTTCAGGTTCTCCTTACCTTTCACTTAGATACTGCAGCAACTTTCCAACTGGCCTCCAACCACTCATTCTTGCTCTAACTCTCCATGCTCACATTTGTGGTAATAATTTTCATCAATCACAGCATTCTTTCCATCTGTGTTCTGCTCTTGAACACAGATGGGTTTAAGGGTGTACTGTTGCCTACATGAAAGGAGACTTGGTGAAGTCAAATGTGGTCAGGAAATGTTCTTTATTTACATAGCTACATTCCCATCAACTACATATTTATCTTTCAGTTTCTGCTTCTAGTTGGTTGGCTGAATACAGCCCACACCAAGAAAAATCTTAGTAGAAATTCTTACAGACTTACCCTGGTCCAAACTTTTCTTTGAAGGAGAAAAAGATTTTCTTCATAATTTTTAGTATTCCTTTTTTATTTAGTATTGAGTATTTGTGTTAATTATTATTTGTGTGTATAATTGATTTGATTCTTTGATTATCTTTATTCTGTCAACATTAGTTGCTAGCAAATTTAGATTTATTCTATAAGTTAGGATAAAAAATTGGTACTCCCAATTTTTGGCTCAAGAAAGCATCACCAAGTACTTTTTTTCTTTTATCTATCTCCTTTTATTTCACAGGGACCTGTCTTTACAGTTTCGTTTTCAAAAAATGGAGAGCTGTTTTCATCAGGGGGTGCAGACACACAGGTTTGTAAATCTTTTGACTTCCTCTTTAATTTGGTCAGGGTAAAGAGATTCTTTTATAGTTTTTTAAATTTTATCTTAAGTTATGCAAGTTTCATGTATTTCATATATACAGATTTAGGAACTTAGTGATACTTCCCACCCTAACATCCCTCCCACTCATGCTCCAACCCTTCTTTCTCTTACCTCTCCCATTCACACTCTTAATTTTCACAAAAATGTACTTTCTGTTTACTTAATGATCCTAAAGTTAACCCTACACTAAGTAAGAGTTCAACAAATAGTATGAAGAAAAAATAAAAAACACTGTTCTTCAACAGAAGAGGCAAGGGCTGTAAACAATCTTCAAATTTCAAAATGTCCATTTCACTCCAGTACAATATATTTTAGGCACTCCATTAGTTACCTTGGATCAGGGAAAACATATGATATCTGTCTTTTTGGGACTGGCTTATTTCACTAAGTATAATGGTTTCCTGTTGTGTCCATTTAGTTGCAAAAGACAGGATTTCAGTTTTTTAAAAGCTGATTAGTACTCCATAGTGCATATATACCATAATTTCTTTATCCAGTCAACAGGTGATGGATATCTGGATTGATTCCTTATCTTAGCTATTGTGAATTGTGCTGCAGTGAACATGGGGTTACAGATAACTCTCATATGCTGATTTTTTTTTTTTTTTGATTTGGGTAAATTTCTAGGAGTGGGATGGCTGGATCATATGGTAAATCTATATTCAGATTTCTGAGGTGTCTCCATACTGTCTTCCATAGTAGCTGCACCAGTTTACATTCCCACCAACAGTGGATTAGGGTACCTAGGATAAAGGAATTCTTGACCTCAGCTAATAAGATTTTTGCAACCAGCTAGTTTGTGTATGTTAAGATGATTATCAAAGACTTTCCATTTTACTTTAGTGCCAGAAAGTCTACTACCTTAAAGCTGAAATGGTGCCAGTTTTGATACTTTTTAGAACTCACATAGCAGTTATTTTCTTTTGCTCAGTTTTAATACTTAATTGTACATGTAACTGACACTTTATAAATTTCTTTTAGTTCTTTAGCTCTTTTACTTAAATTATTGCCTACTCTTTTATATATCAGTCTTATTTCTTAAAATGCTAAGCTTCTTGGGAATGGCAAACATATACCATTTATGTAGCAAATCTGCATTTATTTGAAATGACTAAAAATTATTCATAACCAAATGTATTGAATAAAGTAGATAGTCAATCTATAGGGCTTTGGAAAAAAAAAAGAGGACATGATTTTTTTTTTTTTTTTAAAGATTTATTTATTTATTTGAGGCCGGCGCCACGGCTTACTAGGCTAATCCTCCGCCTTGCGGCACCAGCAGACCGGGTTCTAGTCCCGGTTGGGGCACTGGATTCGTCCTGGTTGCCTCTTCCAGGCCAGCTCTCTGCTGTGGCCAGGGAGTGCAGTGGAGGATGGCCCAGGTACTTGGGTCCTGCACCCCATGGGAGACCAGGAGGAAGCACCTGGCTCCTGCCATCAGATCAGCGCGGTGTGCCGGCCGCAGCGCGCCAGCCGCGGCAGCCATTGGAGGGTGAACCAACGGCAAAGGAAGACCTTTCTCTGTCTCTCTCTCTCTCACTGTCCACTCTGCCTGTCAAAAAAATAAATAAATAAAAAAGATTTATTTATTTATTTGAAAGGCAGAATTACAGAGAGGCAAAGGCAGAGGCAGAGAGAGGTCTTTGATCTGCTGGTTCACTCCCCAGATAGCCTCAGTGGCCGGTACTGGGCCAATCTGAAGCCATGAACCAGGAGCTACCTCCAAGACTTCCACGTGGGTGCAGGGACCAAAGGACTTGGGCCATCTTCCACTGCTTTCCCAGGCCATAGCAGAGAGTTGGATCAGAAGTGGAGCAGCTTGGACTTGAACTGGCACCCATATGGGGTACTGGCGCTGCAAACAGTGGCTTAACCTGCTATGCCACAGCACCGGCCGTTATGATATTTTAATATGAATTATAAGCCAGAAATGGAGGTAATTTGAAATGCTGAATCTATCCCAGCAACTGTGCTTAAATAAAGTATTGAGAAACAGAAACATTGTTTAAATATCTATCTAGCCTTCTGACTGTTTTGAGAGTCAATTCTATAGATTTTTTTTTTTAAAGAAAATCAGTTCTATTGCTTGTGCAAGAATACTTCAGGCCGGCGCCACGGCTCAATAGGCTTATCCTCCGCCTGCGGCGCTGGTATCCTGGGTTCTAGTCCTGGTGGGGGTGCCAGATCCTGTCCTGGTTGCTCCTCTTCCAGTCCAGCTCTCTGCTGTGGCCCGGGAGGGCAGTGAAGGATGGCCCAGGTGCTTGGGCTCTGCACCCGCATGGGAGACCAGGAGGAAGCACCCAGATCCTGGCTTCGGATCGGCGCAGCGTACCGGCCGTAGCGGCCACTTGCGGAGTGACCAATGGAAAAGGAAGACCTTTCTCTCTGTCTCTCTCTCTCTAACTCTACCTTTCAAAACAAACAAACAAACAAAAAAAAAAACAAAAAACTTCAAAATTTTGTGGAAAATAGAATCAAAAGTTTATTTTGCTGTAAAATTTTTTTGGAAATGCATGCATATGAGGGGTCTGTAAAAGGTACATGGAAATACATAATAGGGGCCTACTCTGTTTTGCAGTGGGTTAAGTCATCTGCTGTGGCACTGGCATCCTATATAGTCACTGGTTCAAGTCTCAGCTGCTCTGCTTCCCATCCAACTCTCTACTAATGCTCCTGAGAAAGCTGCAGAAGATGGCCCAAGTACTTGAGTCCCTGACACACACAAATGAGACCCAGATGAAGCATGTGGCTCCTGGCTTCTGCCTGGCCCAGCCCTAGCTGTTGCAGCCATTTGGGGAGTAAACTAGTGAATGGAGGATCTTTCTCTACCTCTTCCTTTCTCTCTCTGTAACTCTGCCTTTCAAATAAATAAATAGATCTTTTCAAAAAAAAAAAAAAAAGAAAAGATGCATATTATGAAAAAAACTACATGGCATGGGCATTTGATCTAGGAATTCAGATGCTGGTTAAGACACCTGCCTGCATCCCTTATTCAGGTGTGTGGGTTGAGTTCCCACTCTGGTTCCTGAATCCAGCCTCTGCTAATGTAGACCCTGGGGGGGGGGGGGGGCCAGCCATGATGATTCAAGTAGTTGGATTTCTTCTGTCCATGTGGGGGACCTGAATTTAGTTCCCAGCTTTGGCCCTGGCCCAGCCCCCCCTAGGGTGTTGCCAGCATTTGAGGAGTCAACCAGCAGATGAAACCCTGACTCACTCTCTCCCTCTCCCTCTTCTCCTCCCCCTCACTCCCCTGCCCCCCCCCACTTTCTTTCTGTCTGTCCCTCAAATTAAAAAAAGAAACAAAAGCTATGCATGCATTTTAAAAAAATTTTTGCACCAAAATGAAGCTCTTTTAATTTCATTCTCCATGAACTCTTTCAATTTCCTTAGTGCATACAAGTCAATAACTACCAACATCATTGACTTTTTTTTTAATAGGTCTTATTATGGAGGACTAACTTTGATGATTTACGTTGTAAAGATCTTAAGAGAAATCTTAAGAGACTGCATTTTGATTCACCACCGCATCTTCTTGATATCTACCCAAGAACACCACATCCTCATGATGGCAAAACTGAGACTGTTGAAGTAAGTACTTTATGCATTTGACCTGTTTTCTTTTTTAAACAATCAACTAGTAAAAGTATTTTATTTCCCTCTTGCGTTTGCTTTATATCTTGCTTTACAAAGTTATGAAGTTCACAGCTTTATACCAGAATTTAAGAAGGCTAGGCTATTTTCTTACAAACATTTTTAAAGTCAAGTCATCTTGTTTTGTTCTTATCCCTATTCAATATTTTAAAAAAATTCAGAAAACAAGGTTGCTGGAGCGGCTATAGGGCATAGGAAGGATCTTCAACAGCCTTTACTCATTACTTCCTCCTCCCCATTTTATATGGACTATGACCTTGAATTCAGAGAAAATCTGGGAAACTTTAATCACCACGTGACCCAGCAGGGCCACTTACGGGGGGCTGGAGGTGAGAGGTTAGTTGGTTTGGTTTGCATGAGGATTTCACATCCACTTGAACGTGGAAGTCATTGTAGTCTAAATCACCTCCACCAAAGCTTCTCTACATACCTCTTAGCACACTTCTCTTAAACCCTGAGGATCCTAATGATTTGGGGCAGGGCTGAAACTATTATTTTATAAGTGTGGCAGGCACGGCCTTCATAATAACAGTAACAAAACTTCTAAGTAAGCACTTGTAAGTTGCAGTTATTTGAGCAAACAGCATATGTGCTGTTCATATCCCATTTCACAATGTAGTTCAGTCTCCTCCAAAGAATTCTCTTCCATAAAAAATACCAGGCCATTCCACTATGTGTACACCTACTCCCACCAAATCATCCACATACCTAGTCACTAACATTGTACATTGTATCTTCTACCAGAGTTTGTCCTACATTGTATGCTTAAAATTATACCAAATTACATAAAACCTAGTCCTGCCTTAAAACTGCAGAACTTCAAGAAACAAGTCAGTTGTTTTCAATAATAAAACTATATACATGTGGTAGTGTATAATAACGTCTCTTATATTTATTTCTTGCAGGCCTAGAAAGGAAACTTAAAAATTATACTGAAAATAATAGAGAATGAAAAATTAAATCCATTGCCTCTGGTGATTGCAGTCTAAACTGGCTTTTTATATTCTAGGTGTGTTTAGGAGCATCAGGTGATGGCTACATTGAAAATAGTGTTGAAGGGCAAAAAATTTATTTTCCCCTAAAAGTTTATTTATTTGAAAGGCAGAGTTGCAGAGAGGGAGACACAGAGAGAGAGAGAATCTTCGATTCACTAGTTCACTCCCCAAATGGGTGCAACAGCTGGGGATGGGTCACGCATTCACTTTCATCTGAATTTTTTTTTAATCATTGCAGAGCCTTTCTTTGCTTTTTCTATTTTTTTAAGATTTATTTTTTTTATTTTGAAAGGCAGAGTTACCGAGAGGCAGAGGCAGAGAGATTGAGAGAGAGAGAGAGAGAGATTGAGAGAGAGAGAGAGAGAGAGAAGTCTTCCATCCACTGGTTCACTCCCCAAATGGCCACAAAGGCCAGAGCTATGCTGATCAGGAGCCAGGAGCTTCTTCCAGGTCTCCTAGTCAGGTGCAGGGGCCCAAGGACTTGGGCCATCTTCCACTGCTTTCCCAGACCACAGCAGGGGGCTGGATCAGAGGTGGAGCAGTCGGGACTCAAATCGGCACCCGCATGGGATGGCGGCACTGCAGAACCAGGCTTTAACCTGCTGCGCTACAGCACCAGCCCCTTCTTTGCTTTTAGAGCAAATATTTAGCATCCTCAAGACTCATTCTTGAGTGGCAGTGCATAACAGCCACATTTATTATTCAGGCTGTAGGCCCACACCCCCTTTCATGGTCTCCTTGTCCTTCACCCCAGTCACTTCTTTAGTTTTGGTTTCTTTGGCTGTGGTCTTTTCTGTTGTTTTGGGTACTTCTGCTAGTGTCAGGTTGTGCATATGTGTATTTATCTTTTTTCTGCACTATTTTTATATTTTGTTTAAGTCAGCCATATCTTGGGATTTCTTGGTAGTCCTGACTTCTGGTTCTTTGTTATAATTTTATCCTTTCTAACTTCCTACAGTTATTCAGTTTTTCTAAAGTTTTTTTTTAAAGATTTATTTACTTATTTGAAATGCAGATATATATATCTTATATGTAATATATATTATATATAATATGTAAATACATATAAGATATATATTAGAGAAAGAGAGAGAGAGATTTTCCATTTGCTGATTCATTCCCCAAATGGCTTCAATGTCCAGGGCTGGGTTAGGCCGAAGCTAGGAGCCAGAAGCTTCTTTCAAGTCTCCCACGTGAGTGCAGGGACCCAAGGACTTGAGCCGTCTTCCCCTGCTTTCCCAGGTGCATTAGAGGGAGCTGAATTGGAAGTGGAGCCGCCGGGACTCAAACCAGTGCCCATATGGGATGCCAGCACTGCAGGTGGAGGCTTAACCTGTGCCCCAGCACCGGCTCCGTCTTCTAAAGTGTTAACCATTACGCTTCATGTTACTTCTAGTATCATGAATAACAATTTATTATTCTTTGCCCTTTTTTTCCCTACAATTATAGATCTTATTTGTTAATCCCTAGTGATTATACAGGGAGCTTCAAAAAGTTCATAGACAGTAGAATTGTGAATGTTTTGAAGTTCCTATGTATATATTCCTATGTATATATTCATATAAAAATATGCAAAATGTATTTTAATTTGAGTATCCTCCCCTTGTGTTGGCCAAACTGGTTTTATTGCCTCTTGGTACTTTTACTCTAGTGTTTTTGTGGCTTGGCTGGGCTGTATCAGGACAGGAGGAAGGTCTGCTCCTGCCTTGCAACCTTTCAGCTACCCTAGCAGAGTAGGCAGAGCTGCAGGCTGAGCCTGGGCCTGCTGATGAATTCAGTCATATTTCCGTGACACCACACTGCCTCAGCACGGAGGCTGGAGCCATTTGCTATGATTTGCCCCCCCCCCCCCCCCCCCCCGTCTCTCCCACCCTCCTGTTCATTTCAGAGTGCTAGACTTTTCTTTAAAATGTCAACAAGTTGTCTGAGTAGCTACGCTCCGACTGTGCCATCAGGAAGCTGTAAAGCCAGCTGCGTTGCTTTGTGTTGCTAGGTCGGAATGACCCAGGCCAGGCAAGGCCACTCTCAACCATAGTTCTCACATGTACACTTAAAAATTCTGTTAACAATGGATTTTCCATCATGAAATTACAGTCCAACAGAATGTTGGGCATTGTACCTGAATGGTTTAAGTACAGGGTAATTTAAAAAGCTCCTAAAAAATGGAATCATAGTGCCAAAAAATTTGAAATCTGTGCATACATATAAGGGGGTCTTCAGAAAGTTCATGGAAGATGCTTATTATGAGAAAACTGTATGGATTTCAAGTTTTTTCCCACTGAAGTAAATTTACCTTTTAATTCCAATTTCATTAACTTTTTGAAGTACCCTCATATATAGTATGGTTTAGATAGTTTCACCTCCTATAATATGAAATGGCAGAGAAGTGATAGGATTCTACATCTAAACAACCAACTCTGTTTTTTTTTTTCTTCAGCATCTCATAATAAAACAAATATATAAAGTTTTATGGAGGGAGGACCAAATAAATAAGTGTTACAAATAAATAATTACCAAGTACCAAATTATTTTTTGAAGACTTTACTTCAAATAAATGGATATAGATTTCTCACAGAGCCCAAAGACTACTTAGTTTAAAAACTGGAATAATATAATATGAATCATAATAGAAGTTGTGTTATCTTAATTTATGATTAGTAAATAATATTTTGAAGTACTAAATTTGATAGATTAAATTTGTTTTTCAAAACTTTAGGCAAGGTAAATTTACAAATGTTACCTTGGAAATATTTTGAAACTAGAAAAGGGGGCTGGCATTGTGGCATAGTGGGTTAAGCTGCCACCGGCAACACCAGCATCCAATGTGGGTGCTGGTTTAAGTCCTGTCTAGTCCACTTCCAATCCAGCTCTCTGCTAAAGCACCTGGGAAAGCAGCAGAGGTTGGCCCAAGTGCTTGGGCCCCTGCACCCACGTGGGAGACCTGGAAGAAGCTCTTAGCTTCAGCCTGATCTGTCCCTGGCCACTTGGGGAGTGAATCAACAGATGGAAGATCTTTACCTCCCTCTCTCTCTGTCTTTCCCTCTCTGTCTGTCTTTCCCTCTCTGTCTGTAACTCTGCATTTCAAATGAATAGTTAAATCTCAAAAAAAGCTAGAAAATTTTTTTAGTTTAACATTCATGGTATAGAAAAATGAACAATTATTAAAATATGTGGAATAAGTAATATGTAAATGAACCAATTAATTTCTTTTTGCAGTAAGCTTGAGTGTTTCATGTATGACTTTGAAGCAAGATAGTATTCCTATGATTTGTATTTTAGGTTTTTTTATGAGGCTTATTTGAATTGTATAACCTCAGTCTTCAGGTGAAACTCTTTGGCGTTTTGCAAAAGCCACCCATTTGCCAGCTTTATGTGCTGCATTTGTTTGAAGGTGTGGAATCCTGTAGTCTTAGATCTTGGGTACCAGCTGACCACATATATATATCGGTATATATTACTAATTACTGTACGGACAGAGAGGTAACGAGAGCCAGATTGCTTATAGAGTAATTGAGAGAAGATGACCACATGAAAGAAGGCAGGAAATATCAAATGCTGGCTGAGTGGAACAGATACTTGCTGTGTCCTTTCTACTGGTCTGACTGTTCAGTCTTTATTAAACATGAGAGCAATACCTTGTCCTTTTTTAGTCCCTCCACACTGTGCTGTGTACAACATCAGTTCATGCTAACTCTATCTTTCTATAGATTGTCACATATTGAGCAGTACTGTCTTGCCCCCAAGCTTAACCAAACTTCCCTTCTCCAAGGGTGAATTTACAGTGTGTGCATGACACTTTTCTCCTGAACATTCTCCTCCCCTTTTGCACATTTTTTAAAAAAGATTTATTTATTTGAAAGTCAGAGTTACACAGAGAGAGAAGCAGCAGCAGAAAGAGAGAGAGAGGTCTTCTATCCTCTGGTTCATTCCCCAAATGACCTCAATGGCTGGAGCTGCGCTGATCCAAAGCCATGAGCCAGGGGCTTCTTCCGGGTCTCCCACATGGGTGCAGGGGCCCAAGGACCTGGACCATCCCTCTGCTGCTTCCCAGTCCATAGCAGAAAGCTGGATTGGAAGTGGAGCAGCCAGGACTCAAATTGGCATCCATATGGGATGCTGGCACTGCAGGAAGTGGCTTTACCTGCTACACCATAGCACCGGCCCCTTGCACATTGTGATGGGAAGATAGCAGAGCCATTCTAAAAGATGGTGACAGATCTCAATGACAGTGAGGCATCAAAATCGCTACTCTGGCAGAAGTGAAGAATGTTGTAAGAGGGACTATAAATAAATAGAATTTATTAAGAAAATAATTGCTGGGGTGGCTTTAATTTTTATAGTGACCATTTGATATTACCTTAATCTATAAATTACATATGAAATTCTATATATTTAGCAAGAAAAAATATATCCTATCATTTAAGCAAATATTCATTTAGCGATATTTTACAATGACCACGAGTCATTATTGAAAACTATGTGGTCGATTTAAAATTTCATATTTGAGATTTTATTTTTAACTCATTCTTCTTTTAAGATTGGAAACTACTATTTATGATTTTAAAAATGACCACTATCTGCCCATTTCGTATTTTAGTCCTTGGTGCTGTATATGTTTCTATTGCTTTGTACCTCAGTAAATGTTCTGATTAAATGATGATAATAGTAATAGTACCTAACACTTATATAACTCTGTTCTAAGTGCTTTACATAAATTATGCAGTATTCCTAAATTTTTATCCACATGAGAAATTGAGTCATATAGAGTATAGAGTCATAAGTTTTAAACCTTAAAACTAGAATTTCAACCTAGGCACACCAATTCCATGCTATATTTTTAACTACTTTGATGTGATGCTCCAATATAACCAAATTTAAGTTCCATCCGCTAGCAGATGTTAAAGCGTCTCTGTGCTGGCCATTGTCTAGCTTTAAGGAGTGCAGCAGTGAACTAAATGAGCTTACTCCTGGCCCTTCAGAAGCTTGTAGTCCAGTGAAGTCACACGGAATTTAGTAGTACAGGTGTTCATGTTCATGGACTTCTCTGTGTAAAGGACACATGTAACCTCAGAGAGGCATGTGGATTGGTACTTCTGAGCTATAAAAGCTAACCTCTCCCTCACTCAGGAATCCCAAGTCCATGACACTGTTCAGCCTCTCATAAAGCAGCCCACTGCATTTCAAGGCATCCTATTTATGCAGCAGCAACGTGGGCTACAGTACAGGAAAATACTTTTGGTTGCAATCAGGAGTTCCCCAGCTTCTTGTACAAAGACAAGGATTTTTCAGGGAGTGTAATTTACATTTTTTTTGAGCAGTTCTGATTTTAGATGGTGAAACCAGGTTATATTTCCATCGGTTAACAATTAGGGTGTACACTAGGTGGCGGTAGATAAAAGAGAATAAAATGTCTGAGCAGACAGGACAGCCAGCCTGAGATTGAAAAGAAAATGAGTCACCTTGGGGCGTCCTGTCTTTGCGGAGCTGTGGACTGAGATGCGATGGGAGGAGGCTGTGTGTGTTCCCCTGCTCTGTGGAACAGCCAGGAAGAAGCAAAGATATTGGCTGGCAGGGCTGATAGTCCCTGATTCTCACCTTGCTGAGTAATTATAAAAATGTTACTATTTCTAAAACTACAACTATACTGATCAAGCATGATAAGTGCTTTAAAAGTCATTCCACTCCTGTTGCTCATCATTCCACTCAGCGCTCATCACCACGGGCCTGGCCTGTTGCAGTAATGTCCTCAGTGGCCCCATTAATTTATTCTTGATGCTCTGCATGTTTCTGTCAGATTAATTTTCTAAAGCACACGTTAGCCTCCAGCTTTCTGTGCCTTCATAATTTGGCCCTTGTCGGCCTTTCTAATCGTCTGTCCTCCTCCTCCTTTTTAATACTTATTTGTTTGAAGGACACAGTGACAGAGAGAGGGGGAGAAACAGAGGAATCTTCTTCCATCTGCTGGTTCACTACCCCCAAATGCTGTGCAGCAAGGATGAGGTCATGCTGAAACCAGGAGCCAGGAATTCCATCTGGGTCTACAAGACTAGCAGGAACCCAAGTAGTAGGGCCATCATCTATAGATTCCCAGGTGTATTAGCAGGATGCTAGATTGAGACAGAGGCAGTACTCAAACCCAGGCACTCCAATATGGACTGTAGATGCACTGAGCAGATGCTAAACTCGCTGCACCACAGTACCTGCCCCTAATTGTCTCTTCTTTGCACGCCATGCAAAGATAGCAGCATTGTGCCCCAGTGCTGAACAGTGTGCTCTGACTTGTCTCCGTAGCTCCGTTTTTGCTTTTTACTTTCTGAATCTTTTTATTAAGGATCCGTGGTGAACCGCGTTTTCTCCATGGGAAGCCTTTGTCACTATCTAAATGCTTAAGCAACAGCTTCTTCAGTCCACTTAAGAATGGTACCATTCATTTGATAGAATGTTCTGCTGTCTTTGTTGGTAATATTTTACCAACAAAGTATTGAAGTATTAGCTTAAAGTATTAAAAAATTCTGAAATAACTTCCCTCAGGAATAATAGCCTTTCTGGGTAGTTACTCCCTTTCTTTTCTTTATAAGCTTACTATATATGTTTGAATCTATAATTACATATTATTTTGTTTTGAATACTGTTGAACTTCATGTAAATGGATCACAGTGATGACATTTTTCTATAAATTGCTGTTTCGTTTAACCATGAAATCCCGAGATTTATACATATTCATCTGAATTCATGCATTTGTATGAAGTTAAACATCATTGTACTCCATTCATTTTCGTAGTTGTATAGTATTCCAGTGAAGTTACCAAAGTAGTTTTCCCCACAGCTTAGTTTCCTGTTAGTAGACTTTTGGGGTATTTCCAGTTTTGGGGTTTTTGGCCATTACAATGTCTATAAACAAGATTGATATCACTGAACTTTCTAGTTTTGCGTTCTCACAGATGTTGAGATGTTGAGATGTTGCTTTACTTTTCACTTTTTTCATGACTATTGTTTCTGAACATCTCTTAATATACTGATTAACTGCTAGTTTTTCATTTCTGTATTTTTTTTCTTGAGGATACTGACCTTTTCACATTGATTTGTAGGATTTCATCATGCATTTTAGATGTTTGTCCTTTTTCCATTTTAGACATCATAATAGTTCTTATCTCATTATCTGATTGCTGATTTTGTGCTGTCCATTGTTAAACAGAAATCCTAAATTTTGGTGTAGTTATTAGATGCATCGGCTTATTTTTATTGTCCTATGATTTTGTTTTTATGGTTTTTAAAGTGTTTTTCTTAACTACTCATCACAAAAATATCCTTACATGTACTTCTATTAACTTCGTAGTGTTAGTATAGCTTTTATGTTTTTCAGTTACCCAGTGCCCATCTTTGTGTTAGCATTAGGCAAGGACCCTTATACTGAGCCCACTTTCATCCTTCCTCTTTAGGTTTGTATTGCCAGTTTAATATTTATTTTCTGATATACTGTGCATTACTTTTGAGCTCCATAAGGCATAGCTTTTTGTTTACTTGCAAGTTTTATAATCTCAACATGTTTTATTCTTCTTAAAAAAATATGACCTTAAGCATCTTTATATATTTATTCTGATATATTTTGAAATTTTCATGGTCCTATAATCAATAGCTTTTTAAATTTTACATTTTCTGTGTGCTGATATTTAGAAATGCAATTGATTTTGTATATTGATTTTATTCTAGCAGTCATTAAATTTTTAGTGGTTCTAATGATTTTTTGAAGTTTCTATATAGATAAACTATATGATATATAATCAACAGTTTTATTTCTTCTTGCCTTTTTTTTTTTTTTTTAAGATTTATTTATAAAAAGAGTTAAAGGGGCCTGTGCTTTGGTGTAGTGGGTAAAGCCACCGCATGAAGTGCCAGCATCCCATACAGGCACTGGTTCTACTCCTGGCTGCTCCACTTCTGATCCAGCTGTCTGCTATGACCTGAGAAAACAGTGGAAGATGGCCCAAGTCCTTGGGCTCCTGCACCTGTGTGGGAGACCTGGAAGAAGCTCCTGGCTCCTGGCTTCTGATCGGCACAGCTCCTGCCATTGCTGCCATTTGGGGAGTCAGCCAGTGTATGAAAAACCTCTCTCTCTCTCTCCCTCTCTCTCTCTCTCTCTCTCTCTCTCTCCCTCCCTCCCTCTCTCTCTCTCTCCCTCTCTCTCCCCCTTCCTCCCTCCCTCTGCCTCTCTGTAACTGTGTCTTTCAAATAAATAAATAAATCTTAAAAAAAAAAAAGAGAGAGAGAGGGAGAGACAAAACGATAAAGATCTTCCATCTGTTGTTTCATTCCCAAATGGCTGCAACAGCCAGGGCTAGGCTAATTGAAGCCAGGAACCTAGAACCCCACCCAGACCTCCCATGTGTGTACAAGAGCCCAAGAACTTGGCCATCTTTCACTGCTTTCTCAGGCAAATTGGCAGGGAGCTGGATCGGAAGTGGAACAGCTGGGACTTAAACCTATGCCCAAATGGGATGCCAGCATTGGAGGCTGGCAGCTTAACACACTGTGCCGCAATGCCAGCACCTAATTCTTACATCCTAACACCTTTTATTTCATTTTCTTGTCTTAATGAACTGGCTAGGGTTTTTTTTTCTGTGCCTTTTGACATGGGTTTTATTTAATTTTTAATATCCTTTTACAGGTAAATTATACTGATACATAAATATGAAAACCTTTGACCCCTGGGATAAATTCAACTTTGTCATACTTTTCTTTATGTTGATAAATGTAAGCTAATAATCTGTTTAAAATCTCTGCAATCTACTTTAACGAATATACTTAATATACCTATTTTGACGAATAATAGATTAGGAAATGCCCTGTAGAGTGTTACAAATAGCATCCAGTTTCTTATGGTGCAAAAATCTCATATTAATTTTTTTATGCACATACACAGATTAATCCAAAGCTTGAGGTAATCGATTTGCAGATTTCTACTCCCCCTGTTGTGGACATCCTTTCTTTTGATTCTGCTACAGTAAGTGTGATTGTTTTGTTTTGTTTTTGTTTTTTTTTTAAACATTTAAGTGATGTCTAATTGCTTGGCACGATCTGTTTTCTCTAAAATTGTAAAGGGATTGGGACAAAATGTGAGCTAAATACCCTAACATTTTAGCATGGAAAGAACCCTATACAAAAGTCCCGTTTACTTTGCATCTAAATAACCACAAGAGGGAGCTGTGCCAATTCCAAAAGCACTTTTACATTGAAGGTGCTGAGCTCTTTCTAATCCATATTCAGTGTCTCATTTATTAAGATGCCACACAAGTAACATTGCACTTGCTGTCACAGAGCAGGTTTCTTGCTATGTTGTCTTCTAGAGATTCTAAACTTAGTTCTTACTTTTAGTCTTCTTGGTAGCTGTAAGAATAGCAGTCTCACCCTCTTTTTTATTATTTGAAATGTTTATAAAATCACACATGCACAAATACATACACATTATTCTTATTTTTTAAGGAATACAGATTTTGTAAGTACAACTTTAGGAATGTAGTGATTCTTTCCACCATACCCGCCCTCCTACCCACACTCCCACCCCTCCTTCTTCTCCCATTCCCAGTCCCATTCTCCATTAAGATTCATTTTTAATTAACTTTGTACACAGAAGACCAGTTCTATACTAAGTAAAGATTTCAACAATTTGCATACACACAAAAAAAAACTCTTTGAGAACTCATTTTACATTTAACTCTCATAATACAACTCACTAAGGACAAAAGTCCCGTATAGGGAGTTATCATACATTGACTCCTGTTGCTAATTTAACAATTAACACTCTTATGCATGACGTCACTGACCACCCAAGGCTCTTGACATGAGCTGCCAAGGTTATGGAAGCCTTTTGAATCCACAAACTCCATCACTATTTAAACAAGGCCATAAGCAAAGTTTTTCTCTCCTCTTTTAGAGAAAAGTACATCATTCTTTGATGGCCCCTTCTTTCCACTGTGGTCTCACTCACAGAGATCCTTCATGTAAAACATTTTTTGCCACAGTGACTTAGCTTTTTATGCCTGAAATGCTCTCATGGGCTTTTCAGCCAGACCAACAAGCCTTAAGGACAGATTCTGAGGTTAGAGTGCTACTTAAAGTGATTGTCATTCTTGAGTCTGCTGTGACACACACATATCACTTATTCATTCAGTGTATCCAGTGAATTCAAAGATGGAAAAGTTTCAGCCTTTCAGTTTTGGAGTCTGCTTAATCTATTCAGGTCAAATCATTGTGCAGTTTATCCTGCTAGTGCAAACCTAGTTGTAATAACAAATAGGAAGAACAGCATGGTCTTTGGCAACACTACTGTTATGGTGTCCGTTTAGTAAATATTTGGGGTAAGTTTTTAATAGGCAGCCAAAAATGAATAAAAAACAACAACAAAAAAATCCCTTATATCATGGCATTACAAACTCCCAGTAGGTCTCAGGAATAACATTTATTGTTGAGGAATTTCACAAAGTACTAATCCACTTTGAGTCTATTCTGATGCAGAAAGCATCTAATTGTTGAAGGCTCCTTTGCTGTTGAGCCCTGATACAAGACTCCTAGATCTCTCAGGAACCAAATGAAGGCAGCCAATGGACCAATGGTCAGAGGGAACACAGGCATTGCTGATGACAGCTAGGACCTCAAGCTGATCTGGGATCTTGTCTCTTGTACCGTTCATATTTTTTTTAAAGATTTATTTTATTTATTTGAAAGAGTTACAGAGAGAGGTAGGAGACAGAGAGAGGGGTCTTCCATCCTCTGGTTCACTCCCCAGATGGCCGCAATGGCTGGAGCTGCGCCAATCTGGAGCCAGGAGCTTCTTCCAGGTCTCCCATGAGGGTGCAGGAGCTCAAGGCCTTGAGCCATCTTCTGCTGCTTTCCCAGGCCATAGCAGAGAGCTGGATCAGAAAAGGAGCAGCTGGGACTAGCACCAGTGCCCATATGGGATGCCAGCTCTCAGGCCAGGGCTTTAACCTGCTGTGCCACAGTGCCAGCCCCGAGTACCGTTCATATTTACAAAATAACTCTACCAGCATCTCTGCATTAGTAACTTACTTACTAAATTAAAATTTAACTAGACTGAAATCTTGCCACAGTGCTTGGCTTATTTGGTGCTCAGTTCATTTTATTTCAGTGAGTTATCCCAACTGCTTGTCATTGAAACTTATAGATTCTGGAGAGTTGGGGTTTTTGCCCTATAGCAAGAGGGAGCAAAAGAGATGTGCTGCCTCCTTGTGAGGTAATCAGTAGACTAAAATTGAATGTTCAAGTCCCCCAAAATATCACAGATCATTAGAAGTCTTTGGTCATGTTTTGAAACTTACTCTCCCTGCCAGTACCCTGCAAGCCTTGCATATATCCTCATAACCTGATTAACCCAGTACTTCTCAATAGTTTGCCATGGTGAGCATAGCTGCCACATATCAAGGGACTGTAGGATGTCAGGACAGTCAAGATGACTGTCAGGGTACCAAAATCATCTAGTCTGTATCATAATACCCTTCCTTAGAGAATAGGGTGTATGTAGGACTTTGGGAGAACAGTTCTGTGTAACTAGCCCTTGACAAGTTTAATAGTTGCACTATAAAACACAGGAAGATTGAGAAGTACAACTATCTATATATAAATAAGGGATACTATAGGTTGAATTATATGGAATTGTCATTTTGTAGGCAACAATGGTCTAATGTCACATGATTCCACCCAATATGCAAGTATAAGCATTAAAATATAGAGTCCAGTGTTATTTTGAGTTTTATACTTGCTGCCACATAAACATAGACAGGAATACAATGTCCTAGTTGATACAAATTGATTCAGATTGGACTAATGAAGTCCAATCTAGATACGTTTTTATTTTTTATTCATTTTTTAAAATTAGTTTATGTATTTATTTGAGAGGCAGAGTTACAGAGAGAGAGAGGAAGTTCCTCTATCCACTGGTTCACTCCCGAAATAGCTGCAATGGCCTGAGCTGGGCCAATCTGAAACCAGGAGCCAGAAGCTTCTTCCGGGTCTCCCATGTGGGTACAGAGGCCCAAGCACTTGGGCCATCTTCAGCTGCTTTCCCAGGCAATCAGCAGGGAGGTGGGTTGGAAGTGGAGAAGCTGAGACTCGAACAGGCACCCACATGGGATGCCAGGGCTACAGGCGGAGGCTTAGCCTACTAGCCGTGGCACCGGCTCCTAGATTCTTTTACAGTCTGGAAAATAGCTGCTGGCTTCCAGAAAGGCATAAAAGCTTTTTGCTTCTACTGCATACTGAAGACACAAATACTTGTAAAGCACTTAGATTTTTATAGAGTATCTCTAAAGGGCTTTACTTTAAATTCCCAGTATTTACATCTTTCTTTTAATTCGTTAGTAGAATAATTGGTAAGAAAACTAAAGTGTGATTATTTTTTAACTATTTATCTTCCTATTAATGTGGTGATATATAATTGTTAATCTACAATCTCCTCTTTACATGGACTCTTTCTTCTGCTAAATCAGGTATCACTGTAAAGGAGGTTTGTTTCTGCTTTGGTGTGAAGTACAATTGTGCTAAATATTTTTGGTGTGAATTTTGCATGTGATTGTAATATGAAATGTGAGCATCCCAAGCAGAGTCTTAACCACTCTAATAAACGCCTGCCCCTATAGGCAGGATTTAGATCTGGGCATTCCAGGTAGGGAAGGCAAGTCACAAATAAGTGGATGCCTCTAGAGAAACTGAAACCATGGCAATAAAAGTGCCTCAGTCTAGTTTTAGGTCTAGGTCTTTAAGTTGCCTAACTCAATAGTGGGCAGGGGGTCTGCCCACTCATATGCATATGTATCTCTCAGTAAATATTGACTGTGTAATTACTCTATGTCATTCACCATTCTTAGCTTTAGAGAAGCTGAGCAAAACAGAACTCCTGCCCCTGAAAAGCCTGCATCCTTAATACAGTACAGGAGACAGGCAATTCAGGTTAAACAAAAACAAACTTTATTGTGTAGTGGACCGAAAGAAAAACACACAGGTGAACACAGCACTCAAGGGCGATGAGAAGAGAGGAAGAAGGCTGCAGTTTTAAAGACCATATGTTCAGGACAAGCATCACGTGGCAAGTAACATTTGAGTGAAGAAGTGAGGAATGAAGGGAGCAGGTCAAGTGGATCTGGGAAGGGCCCTCCAGGCGAGTGGGAGCAGTAATAGAGGCCAGCTCTGAGTGACAGGGGAGCCACCAGAGGGGTTTTGGCAGGGGAGGGACATGATCTGGTATAGGTCTTAATGGGTTTGCTCTGGCTGCTGTGTGAGGACAGAGTGGGGATGGTGATGGGGAGAACAAGGAAACTCATTAGGACGCTAATGAAATAATCAGACAGGAGGCGATAGTGGTTTGACCCAGGGCGGTAGCAGAGGAGGAGGTGCTAAGTCATCTGATTCTGGATGTATTTTGAAGGCAGAGCCAAGAGGATTTCCTGACAGATTGGATGTCAGCCGTGGGATTCCCTATCTGCTTTCCCCAGGGACAATAAGGTGTAGCCCCGAGTCATCTCAGGGTGGCTGAGAGTGTCTCCTGGCTCAGCATCATTTTGGCAGAGGGGCTGCTGAGGGAAAAGAATCGTGGTTTTCCTGTCTCCTGTTCCAGGATCAGGAAACGAATCAGCTGAATCAGGGCAGGAGATACTCTGCTGTTTCCTTGACTTTGGAAAACACACATTCGTCCTTCCTAAATGTCATTCAGGTGTGGATTTTTTTTTTTTTTTTCACCAAAGTACATTTGTTTTTCCTCCTGAAAGATTGTTTTGTATTGCCTATTTTTAGGAAGAAAAAGGTTACATTTTCATGGAGATATGAAATATGATATATATGAAACAGGGTATATACTACTTGAAAATATTAATGTGTTGACAAAATATGTAGACACACACAGAGTAAACTTTCAGATAGGGAGAGAATGTTTCCATGGATGTTGTGGCAACAGTTCATCCTGGTTACTAGACAACATTGCATAACTGGTGCAGC